ATATATATATATACAATCATATATATATATATATATATATATGATGTTTCTTTTGGAGAAATCCAGTTTCAAGAGTACTCTACCCGGGAGGGGAGCATTGTACAATGAAAACAACGATTCTACAAACTCAAAGTTTCATGCAAATGCAATCATCAGTGTCAGAATAACTTACTAAATTACTAAATCCATATTTTCCTTACAAGCTCCTTCATAAAATTAACTTAACTAAACTAAATCAAAAAAACAAAATCAAACGAAACGAAACGAAAATGAAATACAAGAACAAAAACTAAAATTAAAATAAAATATTCCTAAAAGCATTTCTTCAGCATAAACTTGTTGGTGTGCCTACATTTACTTATGAGTTCCCTCCTCCTATTTAATAGATTGCCATCTTTATTTAAAGAGCACAAATATATTGGGCTTACTGAAAACACTTTTAAGACCCGTTTCAGTTCACACACAAGCTCTTTCAAACTCGAGAAGCTACGAAATCAGACGGAGCTATCTAAGAAAATATGGGAGTTGAAAGATAAACAAACACCATATAAAATATCTTGGAAAATAATCAAACATGCTCATCCGTACAAGGGGGGTACGAAAGATTGTCATCTCTGCCTTACTGAAAAACTTTATATTATTTTAAATAAAGATGGCAATCTATTAAATAGGAGGAGGGAACTCATAAGTAAATGTAGGCACACCAACAAGTTTATGCTGAAGAAATGCTTTTAGGGATATTTTATTTTAATTTTAGTTTTTATTCTTGTATTTCATTTTCGTTTCGTTTCGTTTGATTTTGTTTTTTTGATTTAGTTTAGTTAAGTTAATTTTATGAAGGAGCTTGTAAGGAAAATATGGATTTAGTAATTTAGTAAGTTATTCTGACACTGATGATTGCATTTGCATGAAACTTTGAGTTTGTAGAATCGTTGTTTTCATTGTATATATATATATATATATACAAAATGAAACGACCGGTTGAGTCAGACAAATGTTTCAATCATGATACAAAACCATGATATCATCAGTGACAACTTTTTTTATTTATATTTATATATTTATATTTTGTATCTAGCTCTCGGCTTGCCGATTGAGCACTGTAAGTAGACGACGCCACCCACAATTATATATATATATATATATATATGATGTATTGACTTTTATTGACTATTATTTTATGGCCTTGTTGAAATGTTTTATTCGAAAGAGAATTTTGAGTTACACATTTAATTATTGCACCTGTTTGAAACAAATCATAGTCATTACTAAGGAAGTAATGTAAAACTGAAAAGTCAAAAGTAATACAACTACCTTACTCGGGATTATTATGACCGGGATAAAGTGGCGGGTTTAGGGTAATTTCGCCATATTTTTCCCGAACCACATTTTCACCGGTCGTTAATAAACCCGCCGACTCAGCTTTTAGGGTTCCCAAGGGGTATGGGTGCTCATATTTTAATCGTTGTCTTATATTCACTAAAGAAGACTATTGGGACACTTGTTGTAGGTTTTTCGACTTCATTTGGCTAAAATTGCAAAAAATATACCTTTTTGCCCAATTCTTGTCATATATCCTTATTGTCAAAGTTGATTTAAATAGGCCAATTTTTAATTTCTTAGGTATTGACTATCTCTACATAATGAAATAGGACTCAAAATAAAAGTAAAAGTTAAATTAAAACTTGAATTAATTAAAACTGTCAATAACATGAATCAGTTTCATCAGTCATTTATTCATAATTCTAAACAATGTGAACGATGCATTCTTTCGAAGATTTTCTACAAATTAAATAAACAAAAACAACAATTATTGATAATTCGACTTGTTTCACAAGTTTTAGCAATGCGAAAATTTCTAAACTTGCTTATCTCTAATAAGGAAATTTACATCTGAGACAAAATTTTTGAATCTAAAATTGAAAGGTTGGACACCGGTAAAATGGCGACCGGGAAAATGTGGTGGGTTTTGAGCAATTTCGCCATATTTTTCCCGAACCATATTTTAACCGGTCGTTAATAAACCAGTCGTAATAATCCCGAGTAAGGTATGTGCTTTTATATTAATACTTTAAAAAAGTAATGTAATTGTAAAGTAAAATTTATTTAAATTTCTTATTTAAAAAAACGTCAGTTAAAAATGGTGAGTGATATTATACACCTCAAAGAAAAATAATCACACTTCACACAACATTTAATTTTTAAATTTCAATATAAATCTCTAAATTTCTCGGTGAATGCCGACTTATAAAATCGTTCAAAATGATCTAAAGTTATCTCTCAAAAAATCCGATTCCATTTATCAATCGGTTGCATTTCTTAAAATGGTAAAAGGGACACCGGTTCTACTGTTCAGTACGGTGTACAATGTTTACCATCTTCAGTGGTAGGTTGATACTATTACTAGTCAAATTGTTCATTAAGATAGCTTAAAATGTCTGGTTACAGCAGTATCTCACAGTGGCGGAGGTCTGTGTCTTTTCTCATGATCTTCGTTTCAATATCATGAGGCTCGTTCCTGGATTCTGAAATGGTCGAGTGACAAAAATCTGTTATTATGTAGATTTTGGTAAACACCACATGTCGTGTTCGGAACGTAAAATTAGAAATGATCACATTTCATGAAATAATAATTATTGAACAGTTTGTAGAAAAATTTAAACGAGAAGAATATTTGTCACTTCTTGTACTTACTATTCACAGCTGCCTAAAGAGGTTTACAAAGGGTCCATGTTTTGTTTTGTCAGTTGAAAGGTTCGTTCCTGCTCAGTAAGGGTCTGAAATAAATTGTTATAATATGATATAATAGCAATACATGCAGATTTATGAAAACGTTTAAAATGATTAATCCGATTCCATTTATCAATCGGTTGCATTTCTTAAATGTTGAAAGAAACACCAGTTCTACTGTTCAGTACGGTGTACAATGTTTACCATCTTCAGTGGTAGGTTGATACTATTACTAGTCAAATTTTTCATTAAGATAGCTTAAAATGTCTTGTTACAGCAGTATCTCACAGTGGCGGAGGTCTGTGTCTTTTCTCGAGATCTTCGTTTCAATATCATGAGGCTCGTTCCTGAATTCTGAAATGGTAGAGTGACAAAAATCTGTTATTATGTAGTTTTTGGTAAACATCACATTTCGTGTTCGGAACGTAAAAGTAGAAATGATCGCATTTCATGAAATAATAATTATTGAACAGTTTAGTTTGTAAGATATTTAGTTTGTAAGATATTTTAAACGAGAAGAATATTTTTCATTTCTTGTACTTACTATTCACATCTGCCTAAAATGGTTTACAAAGGGTTCACATTTTGTTTTATCAGTTGAAAGGTTCGTTCCTGCTCAGTAAGGGTCTGAAATAAATTGTTATAATATGATATAATAGCAATACATCAAAACTTTATTAATTCTTTGAATAGATTTTGAATTTTGTTTAATGTTAAATACATATTTATAAATAATATGTATTTTACATTGAATAATGTTTATGAATGTTTATAAACACAAATATGTCTCACAGTGATGGAGGTATGTGTCTTTTTCAGGGTATTCATTACTTATCAATGCCATGAAGCTCGTTTCTGTAATCTGTATTCTGAAATGTTGATTTTATTGCCGAGTGACACATTATTTCTGGTATTGTACATGTAATTTCTGGTGATCAGCACAGTTCATGTTCAAAATGCGAAAGTAAATTTGATTACAGTCAAGTTCAAAATAAGTTAGATAATAGCAATGTGTGTATTAAACAGCAATTGAATTTTAGGAATTCAGCTCAATAGAAGTGTTATCACGAAAAAGCACCTTAAAAAGGATCATTTTTTACTACCCTTCAATTCTCGTTAACTGGTTGAAGCTGATATCCTCTCTTTCTTCCTGTTGAACATTCGTATAGTCTTTATACAGCATCGTCTTCGTTCCTGGAGTTGGTTATCAATAACTTAAAATAAGAGTATATTATCATTAATTGACGATATAAATATCTTCTCGCTTTTGCCATTTGAAATGGAAAGCACCGGATTACCAGTCAGTTTCTAATATTTGCTAGACAATATCACCAAGCTATCAATGGTGTATTTTTTTTTATTGAAATCTTTCAATTATTATCATCAGAATTTATTACAATATCAATGTTGTATAGAATTTCTAAAAATGGACTAGAGAAACCAAAAAATGCCTTGACAAGTGTACAGCAATGATAACAATCAGGGGACACCAATACACCCAAATAACCAAACAAAAGGCCTCGAGAGGCCTGATGAAAAGTCGAGCAATTACATTGGGCCCCAAGTGCAGAAGGAGAAAAATGTGCAAATAATACGAGCTGTGACCTTAGGAGGCATTTCTAGGTTTTTAAGAATAATGGCCACAACCCAGAAATTATCAATTACAATTGGCTGATTTGTAATATTTCCAATGGAATGAAGTTTTAACGATAAAATTTAAATAATTGAATATAAAAGACTAAATCAAAATTGTATCCGAATAAAGCAAAAATGCGTGATGAGTACCTCAAAAAAAAAAAAAAAAAATAATAATAGAGAAATACACTACCCGTAGTCAGGAGAAAAAGAATTGTCAGGATCTGAACTAGGGCCAATATCTACAGATGCAGTACAAACATGTTCCTTCCAGATGTGTTTAATAAGTTCTGTTTTAAACACACCTGGTCTGATAATCAAGAGGAAGTCGGTTCCAAGTGAGATGAGCTCGATAAAAGTAAGATTTAGATATAGCTGAGCCAGGTGGAATTGAAGATATTACTGATAAGTGATCAAGATGTGAGCTTCTCAGTCGGCTTGACCCGGAGAAGAAAGTAAGGTATGTTATTAAAATTAACTAGATTCTACGTATTAAGTATAGGTACGTACCGTAATTGTAGCTGCTGAGAAAAGCTGACAGTAGGTTTTAAAACGGAGGCAAATAAGTTTGCTTTTCTTCGGTTGTTATATATTAGGCTGGATAAACTTCAGCAGTTCAAAACTAATTACAAAACTACAAATCTATTACATTTATTGAGTACTAGTGTAACCCGGCCTTCGGCCGGGATTTCACTGCCGCAGTTAAAAAGAGTATGAGTATTTACCCGCTTAGTCAAAACCCGCATTAGGTGAGCAATTCTATTCGAAGTGCCCTCACGTATCCAATAGTATTTAACTTTAATCAACAAATATAGGTTTATGTGAAAGATAAATACTATTAGTCTCAGCCGTTGGGATTCTGAGCCGTCGTTTACACTCCTTCTAGCCTGCCTGTTTTTAAAAATTATCGTCGAATTTTTGATGCAAATAATCAGGAAACATTTTTATATCTGAAATTGATGTCGTACTGGCCTCGTCGAAATTTGAATGGCACTAAAAGGAGTGTGCTCCTCGAGCAGTAGTCGTTTTGTATGTGAATTGATCTGTCCTTCCAGTCAACTTCCTCCCCTCCCAACCAAATGTTTATTAAATTCGTATCAAAGTCTGAGGCTGGTGCTAACTCTGGCGCAAACTCTGGTGCAAACTTAAATAGTCTCAAACATAAAAGTAAAATATAAATCTCATCCATGCATTTTTAGTTTGGTGATATATATATAAATCTATTTATGATACTCAGCCCAATAGTTACCATAGGCTTTCGAAACAGAAACGAAGCAGGAATTGCAATTCCCCTTTTATCAAATTCTATTTCTGAAAGCCAAGGATCTACACCAGTTCCAGCTTATAGCTCAGTTATGCGGTACAGTAATATGGTACAAAATATGTTCTGCGACGTTAAATCTCAACTGTTTATTGCTACTGTGTTATAAAATTAATGAGATCAGTAACTGGCAAAAAGCAACTGTCACCTCTCATTGTATAATTGTTAAAATAGATAATAGTAAATTACTGTTATTTGCTACTGTTTATTGCTACTGTGTTATAGAATTAATGAGAGTAACTGGCAAAAAGCAACTGTCACCTCTCATTGTATAATTGTTAATAAATAATAGTAAATTACTGTTATTTGCTACTGTTTATTGCTACTGTGTTATAAAATTAATGAGATCAGTAACTGGCAAAAAGCAACTGTCACCTCTCATTGTATAATTGTTAAAATAGATAATAGTAAATTACTGTTATTTGCTACTGTTTATTGCTACTGTGTTATAGAATTAATGAGAGTAACTGGCAAAAAGCAACTGTCACCTCTCATTCCATGAGCTAAAAGTGCATATAAAGAGAGAAGCTATTTAACCTCGAATACAACGTTAACTGTAACTGCCTGATTTTCGGTTGTGTATTGAAATACAGTATTTTTCAATTGCAGATAAATGTCTTCAAAACATTTCCCCCTCGAAAAGCCTACATACAGTTGGCCATGTGAGAACACGGGTTGAGGTAAATACAGTCCTACTTTGTTGAATGTTTGGCCTTGGCTCTTATTGATGGTCATGCAGTACGCCAGGCGGACCGGATACTGGGTCCGTTGGAACTTGAACGGTATTGTTATATCAGACGTGATCAGTTTCACGCGGGGTATCAATACTTGACGTCCTATTGAAGCCTCAGATCCGGATATTATTTCCGCTGCTATGCACCTATCGCCCAAATGCCTAACAATAAGCCTTGTGCCATTACATAGACCGTTCTTCACATCCAAATTCCTTAGAAGCATGATTGGGCACCCAATTTTCAGCTCAAGTTCATGCAAAGGCAAGCCGCTAGGTGTTAGAGAGTGTAGAAACTCAACAGACATGTTATTTACCTCATTACCCTCATCCTCAACATATACATTTGAACTAAAGTACGACCTACTCTGTTCCTCAGGTTTAAATTTAGCTAAAGTGTCCCTGTTAATGACATGTGTATCAACGTTTTTCGGTGTCAATATAATGCTCTTAGATCTATCTACGTTAAAATCAGGATAGATAGCGTCTACTACACCGGATGTTATGTTACATTGATCAGGTATATCGATTTGACTGGGTAAAGCATCGGGGAGGTCCGATCTAAGTTTCCCATCACCTAATTTAATCAACCATTCACAAAACTCACGCTCTCCAGGCCTCGCACGCATGTTCTGTGTCAACTGTAATTGAGTAATGTGTTCCCATAAAGGTGATCTGTTTATACAGTTTTCCAATATTCCAGCAGGCTGCGCTCTAGGGGTAACCGGTAATGTTTGTCGAAAGTCCCCAGCAAAAAGCAAAAGTTTACCTCCAAATGGAACTGTGTTGTTTGTTATGTCCCTGAGCATTAAATCAATAGCTGAGAGAGCATGTTTTGGTATCATGGACGCCTCGTCGATAAAGATTACACTTAAAGATCTTATAAAAGCAGCTTGCTTTGATGAAGGTGTTATATTGCAAGTCGACGTTTCAAGGATTGGGACTGGAAGCTTGAATAAACTGTGGACAGTGCGGCCGAATCTAAGCAAATTACCAGCTATCCCGGTCCAGGCACAGGAGGATACTTTATGGTCCAATGCAAGTGCTTTTGCAATAAGAGTGTTAAAGACAAACGTTTTACCGGTACCACCAGGAGCGTCTATGAAATAGGCACGTACCCTGTCGGAGCTAGGTGCTGAACCATGCAGTGTAAGTTCGTGAATAATTGAATCTACTATAAACCTTTGTTCATCATTAAGTCGACTATACATGGTGTCAAATCTATCAGCCTCGGCAGCAACATCTATATAGTCGTGCTCAGCCTCGTCAAGTGAGGGTAAATCTTCCCAGTTTTCAAGTAAGTCTATATTAAAAGTTGTGACAGAAACACGGTAATTTGCAAGCAGTGAATGATTGATGTCTCTAAGGGCATAATGTACCGCTCTATCAGGAGGTAAATTATGGATATTCACATAGTCCTCATACATCTGTTCCTGGAAGTCGTCCCACAGTTCTCTAGGATTACTCGGCTCACAACAGCCTAATATCGTCACAAAAAGCTCTCTTATCTGCCTACACGTAGCAATCCCACACGCTTCCTCAAGTGTTCTCTTCCACTCTGTGTCATCAGTTAACAGACCTCTCTCACGACACACCTCCTCATACGTATCATACCTCACATCATCGTACACTTTCATCTCACGAAACGACCTCGCACCCCGCACATGAAGCAGTAACATTCTCAAGTAAAATTTCTCCCGCTGCCTGGGACCTACACTGTAGATTCTTGCTATCACCGACTTCACTCGTTTAATCCACTTCTTGTTTTTCTGGTCCCACCTATAGTGCTTAGGTATCTCATTATACAAATACTGCCGTGCCTCAGGATCTCTCTCATTCAAATCAAACCAAGCTGTCAACTTCGTACTGTGATCTCGCTCCAACACCCCATCAATATCAGCACCCTCTCTAAAAGTGACACTCTGATGGAGGTGTTCATGTATGTCTAATCTCACAACAGTGTGGCTCTTATCGCACACATCAAATCCACTGAGTCTCCACACACTCTCCGGTGCACTCACGTATCTGGTATCAATGTATTTCTTAATCTCATCCCGAGAGGTGGGATCTCTTTCAGTTGTCTCAATTCTCGCACAGTCATGACCTTTGTAAACATATTTAAAGATGTACTTAATAGATTTTATCGATGTACAGGCTTCTACGTTGATGTGGGCATTATACTTCAGTGATAAGTAAGGACAGTACGGTACTACGTATCTATTGTCAAGCGGTACACCATTTTTCATCACCATCCTACCGTTGTTTGGGCGTTTATACAATGGATATCCATTAACATCCATGACCGTTTCCTCTTGGAAATCTTTAGGAAACTTCTTTGTGCATTTACCATTTTCCATACATGATGCGTTAGGTTTCACCACACCGCATGGGCCGTGTAGCATACACGAAGTTACTATTTCGTGCAATCGTGGAAATATATTAGGATCAGGAATTTCAGCACTAATCAAGCTATCTAACTCCTCTACTGTTCTAACTTTTGCCTCGTTCACCAACCAAATTAAGATATGCGCATGAGGCAAGCCGCGTTTCTGATATTCTATTACATGGATGTTAGCTAATTGTTTACCAAACATTTTCTTAAGATCAACTTTTAATGCTTCTAAGTGTAATTTTAAAACGGCAGCTACTACATCGGGCCTATCCGATGCAGTTAATTTTGGACGATGTGTGTTTCTATTTGGGTCGTTTGCTTATGGGCTTCATCAGAGTTTTGTCGGCACTATACCGAAAAAACCAGTCCCGTAACTATTACCGTTTTTTTTGTATAACCGTTCGGAAATTACACACGGACAGACAGACACACAGACACGACACACCTCCTCATACGTATCATACCTCACATCATCGTACACTTTCATCTCACGAAACGACCTCGCACCCCGCACATGAAGCAGTAACATTCTCAAGTAAAATTTCTCCCGCTGCCTGGGACCTACACTGTAAATTCTTGCTATCACCGCAGCACCCGACTTCACTCGTTTAATCCACTTCTTGTTTTTCTGGTCCCACCTATAGTGCTTAGGTATCTCATTATACAAATACTGCCGTGCCTCAGGATCTCTCTCATTCAAATCAAACCAAGCTGTCAACTTCGTACTGTGATCTCGCTCCAACACCCCATCAATATCAGCACCCTCTCTAAAAGTGACACTCTGATGGAGGTGTTCATGTATGTCTAATCTCACAACAGTGTGGCTCTTATCGCACACATCAAATCCACTGAGTCTCCACACACTCTCCGGTGCACTCACGTATCTGGTATCAATGTATTTCTTAATCTCATCCCGAGAGGTGGGATCTCTTTCAGTTGTCTCAATTCTCGCACAGTCATGACCTTTGTAAACATATTTAAAGATGTACTTAATAGATTTTATCGATGTACAGGCTTCTACGTTGATGTGGGCATTATACTTCAGTGATAAGTAAGGACAGTACGGTACTACGTATCTATTGTCAAGCGGTACACCATTTTTCATCACCATCCTACCGTTGTTTGGGCGTTTATACAATGGATATCCATTAACATCCATGACCGTTTCCTCTTGGAAATCTTTAGGAAACTTCTTTGTGCATTTACCATTTTCCATACATG